TCCATGTTCCAGTTGCCCTAGACTCACACCAAGCCTTGGATCTAAACCCTTTTATACACCTCAAATCACATCGCTTCTATGAACCAGTCAGTCACTCGGGCTGCATCAGTCATTCCTCAATCCAGTCAATTCAGGAGATGCTGTTGTCACTCAAAATTTCATATACATACTTATCAAATTCTCAACCATCAAGAAATCATCTTATTAATCACCTTAGAGGGTGCTTTCCATACTTTGGGTGCTAATGGTGTTCCTGACTCAGCTTCACTGAGTATGCTTAAGGCTAAAAAAGTGGGTCATGGTTTAGCAGTTCACTGTTTCTAGAACCTACCTGACTCAACCATCAGTGAGCATTTCCAAGTCTACATAACTTAACTCAACTTTAGAAAACTTCTTAACTTATGACAGATCACTAACTAGGCTGGTAATGCTTGTGACCCAACACCACAATGTTGCTACCAAGAGAAGATAGACACTGGTTAGTTCTTCTCATTTTGATACCTTTGATAATGATGGAGGTGATAGATCATCTGATTTTTTTTTTAAATTTTAATCCATAGTTTTATCATGGATTTTCATGTTTGGAACTGTCTTCTTTACGTTTGCTTAGGGAGACCCAAACTTGGAGCAAAACTTCTCCTTTAGATTACATATGCAGTATGGCTGAAGCCAAAGGCAAGAAGGAAATCAATGGGCCTTGTTACATACTCATTTTAGGTGATTTCTAGAACTCTTAACCCCTGGATTGACTGCATGTTAACACCTTTAAGTGGCTTACAGCACTCATTATTCATCTTAAAGTTACACCACTCCAGGGTAGGATTATCTCTAGTCCACTTAATTTTGCTTCTGTTCCATTAAGGTGTGGCCACTCTCCACAGCCATTCTGACCAAGTTGAAGTCCTCCAGCATCCCAGGATGTAGAAGACCTTGCTGAATAAGAGCAAGTGGGGACATGGGGGAACACTGGAGCTGGGCACAGCGCCCCTGCCCCACTGATCCTACCAGGAAGATCGAATGCCACAGCCCTGGAGCACCCAGCAGCTGCATTGCCTCCCAGACTGTCTCACTGCTCTGAATGCCCAGGCCAGACTTGGGCTGTGGTGTCTGTTGGGGGGAAGCATGCTGGTGCTCACCCCTCCCACTGACCCACAGTTGAACCTGTGCCCACCTCCACTGCAATGTGTCCCTGCCTAGTGCTTGTACCCCCAGGACCCAGATACATGTCCTGGCAGGATTGGAGTGAAGGTTAATAGCTTCAGTGTGGCAGCGCAGGGCTAATTCCCACTGACCCCATGATCTGCTGGGCTGTGCAGAGCCCAGCTTCTAGCTCCCCCCACCTGGTGGGGGACAGCTGCAGTTGGCAGGCACCTGAAGCCCCTGAACATGATGTAGCAGCTGAATAGCTCCAAGCATGAAGTGTGGGGCTTGGCACTGCCCGTCTGGGCTGGGGCTGCACAGAGCAGGTGGGGAGGCTATTCCACTCACAGATGTCTTCCAAGCCCATGGGGCCTGATCCTTTTCAGAGCTCAGGTGATGCACAGCTGTCTGGAAGCCCAGGCATGGGGGGGCAGGGGGGGAAGGGAACTCTGGAGAAAAAAAGAATCGGGCCCCTTGGAGCTCAACAGTGAAATAGTTTGAGTGGTGGCAGGAGGCACCATGGCTGCTGTGCGCTCTGGGGCCTCAGTGCTCACTCTGCCTGGCAGGAGCAGTGAACCGGTCCTGCCCCTGGTAACCAAGCCTCTAGTGGCAAGTCAGAGCTGTTCAGATAAAGGACCATCAGAGATGGTTTTTCATCTTAAGGTGTGACTAATCCACTAAACTGAACAACACTAAGCCGATTAACATTTGTTTGGCTTACAGCATAGGATGTAACAAGGCCTAATGTATGCAACTGTTTGGCCTTCATCTGGGCTTACTTAAAACCCATAAAACTAAACTTCATGAACAAGGAGCATGATCTTTGGAGGTATAAATTCCCACATCCCCCACACAACCTCTCCCACTCCAGTGTCTTCCGGTCCTAGCTGAAAAATTTAAAAGTGCAGAGGTTAACTGAACAGTTTGGGATCTGCCAAGTTATGCATTCATTTACACTAATTGTGTGGGCTTTGTTTTGGCCCATTGTCTCTCCCCACTCATATCGGTTTCCCCACAGGCTTCATCCCCATGTAATAGGAATATAGGATTGCAAGAGCTTATTTAGGAAATACAGTATAAATAGAAAAAAACTAAATGGAACATATTATTGGGGGACTAAAACTAGTAGAATATATTAGATGTTGGTTAAAGTATAGCTTTCCTTTAAAACTTATATAGAGAGGATCATGCAAAAAGTTCAGTGAAAAAAATTATATCATCATTTATAAAAAGAAATTGTGTAAATCACACTATACGGCATATACCAATAATGTTGGACTGTGGACACAAAAATCTATAAAATACTTTGAGCAGCATCCTATGGGACTGAAAAGTCCTTTCCTAGCTCGCAAACTAGATACAACTTTAATCAGCTTCCCATGGCTACCAGCGTGCTGTGTTTGATAATAAACTGAAGGAAACTGAAAAATAATAGGACAGAATCTCATATATCTGCATTTGTTTAGAAAGGGGAATTTTACCAATTTTGCATATTCAGTTTATATTCACTATCACTAGTGTTAAGGAATTTTCTTTTGCTCTCTGTTTTTCCCTACAGTACTCGTGGAGCATCTCACTATTTCAAAATGCTCCTCCTGAGAACTGGTGTCAGCGAATGCTGCTCTTTTGCCAAATATAAAGTAAAATACATTCTGCCACTTTTTTTCTGTTAACAGAAGAAATAATCAGGCTTCACAGTATGTTCATGAATGAAAAAAAACAATAGACCTGTCCTTTGTAACTGAATATTTGATGGGCTATGAATGCATTCTATCTTGCAATTTACTCTTTTACATTTACTTGCTGAGTACTGATGGTATGTTCAGTGTTGTTAGTGTGGAAGAGGAGAAAAGTATGCTGCCCTCAAGGAGCCTGCATGTTTACAGAGGCTGAGTAAAAATTAATTGGATCACAGGAGTATTCTTTTACAGAACAGGTCCTTTGTTAAGATTAGGTTTATACGCTAATATAGAACCCTAGTAATAGAATCAGAGGATTTGAAGGGACCGCAAGGGTCATTTAATCCAATGTCTTTGTTGAGAGAACGGTGGTTTATAAAAGAACTACATTTTAAGGACTGATTTGAAGAAGATAAGTGTGCAGGCATATACAACTGAGTCAGAAAGAGAATTCCAAATTCATAGAGGGAGGGCAGAGAGATAAAGAACTTATTTGGGATTTGAAGACGGTGTGGAGGAATGTGTAATGGCAACACTAAGCTAGGTAGCGGCTAGGTTTTAAAAAAGAGTGAATGTAAAAGCAAGAAACTTAGAGCTGATGTAAAAAAAACAATAGGCAGTTGAGCAAGGAAATCAAGGAGCTGATGTTCAACTACCTGATTTTTGTGGCAATATTTTGGGGAGTTGGAAGGACCAATATGAAAAAGGTTATGATAATTATAATAGGAAATGACTGCATCTGGGAAAGTTCTAAGCAGAGGGAATAAGATTAGTGATGAGAAAGGAGTGAACAATTATGTTGAATTCATGAACCTGGGTACTAAGAATGCTGGGCTTGACTGAGAAAGTGGAAGATTAGGCTGGGGATAGCAGAATTCATTTTTCACTATGGCAATCCACTTGTACCTTGGGGAAGTAGTTAAGGAAGTGAGATGGAATGGAAGAAAATTAGGATGGTTGATTTTTGAAATATTAGCATAAAAGTACTTGAAGATGTTTGGCTGACTGGTACCTCCAAGGATCAGGGATGACCTGTAGAAAGAGGAAATGAGCGAAATGTATGAAAGGGGAACCCTGAGGTTAAATGCAAGAGAGGGAGATATACTGAAGTGGCAGGTAGCAAGGAAGTATGTGAACTACAAAACACCCTGCCATATAAGACAGGGGAAGAGGGAGTAATGGATTGAGGATGATGAGTTCAGAAACTTTACCTAGACATTTAGCTAAAATAGGTCATTGGTGATCTTGATAAGGCAGTTTCAGGGAGTGGATGAGGCATAAACTAGATTGAAAGGGTTTGAAGAGAGAATATGATGCAGAGAAAATCAGTGAAAGTGAGTGGAAAAAATGTTGAAGAACTTTGACAGCAAAAGAAGCAGTAGTTGGACAGGCAAGTGACATCAAAGTAAAACTATGGCATGCAAAAGGAAAGGAAAAATATGGCAGAGAGTGGGGTTTGGGATGAAGACAAGAGAATCAAATGAACTAAGGAAAGTCAAAAGTGTGGATTTAAATGGGTTAAGAGAGATGTTTAAGCAATAGCGGAGAAGAATAGAATGGAGATCTACCACTGAGCTAGAGGTATGTAAAAGGACAAAAAGCAGTATATGTATGTGAGAGAAGGAAAACTGAGAGAGGAAGATGTGTGAATTATAGCAGCAAAATATATGGCTGAGTTGTGTCCAGCCAAAGCTTAATATTTCATTCTGTGTTGTTAGTCTCACTTGGTATACTTCAGCATAATAGAAAGAAGGGTATATGAAAGAGTGTTTCTGGAACATGCTGCTTGTTCCACATTGGATCAAGCCAAGGCCTCGCATATGTAGTTGGGTGTAATGGAGGTCTGCCCCTGTTAGTAGGAAGAGGGGTTTGGGGAGAAGTGCAAGAAGCCTGAGGGAAAAGTGGCAGGATGAAGTAGCTGTCTGGGTGAACTGACCCAGGGGCTAGAAAAGGGCAAGCAGTTAATTGCAGAATTAACAGCACCTGGGCCCTGGGTGCAGGAAACAGGGTCACAGGACTGAAATGGGGCTGCAGATCTTCCATATCACAGGTGAGTAGCTAAATCACTAATGGTAATGCTGGATTGAGTTTCTCTTAATTTCTTCTGTGGGGGTTGGCTCCATTTATATAATTAATTAAATATTAATCAAGCCAGAGATATTGCCTGTTTATCCCACCTGTCAAAGTACTTCTTTGGTAGAAGAGTGGCTGAGCAGAGAATAAGACCAAGTCTCCCACCTCTCAAGTGAGTGAACTATTAGCTATTTTAGAATCTCTCTCTGTCCCTCAAAATTCATTGATGTAGAACCTTTTGTAAACAGAATTGAAATGTGTGGATTTCATTGAAAAGCTATGGTTTTCATTAAGTGGTATCATTCAACATCAACAACAATAAAAAGAAACATTAAAAGTATTCCCAGAAACCTCTCGCTTTATGCTACAAATCTAAAACAAAGGGGACTGAAATGCTATTAGTGTGGAAGATTTCTGCAATGACCCACCACTTAATAAGGTAAGTTGTGCCCAGAAAAATCTTAGAAATATTAAAATATACTGAGTGGATGAATTGATATTGCAAAAAAAAAGGGGGAGGAGATTAATTTCTTGAGGAAAAGATTTTGTGAGTGATATCTTTTATTGGACCAACTGAAGGGTTCTGATAGACTTAGACAAAGGGTGAAGATGGAAGTGCAGCTTCCTGAATGCTTTGCAGGAAGTGTTCTGAGTTACAATGATCCCCAGGGACTAAACAGAAGTTCACTGTTAGTTCTAGTGAGCCTGCAGCTAGGCCTATTGCTAAGGGAAATTTTCTCCCTGTGGGGCTGCAAACTTTTTAGAATGGGAGTGGGGAAAGGGAGTAGAAAGAGCTCATTTGGGGGTTTCCCCAGCCAGTGCTGGAGGGTGGGTCCCCCAGCCACCTTTGGTGGCTCCAATACATCCATGCCACCTTCCAGCAGAGGCTGAAAAACTCCTAGACCAAACTCCACCTGCTCCCTTTCCCCCCTCCCACTCAGAACACAGCGACAGACTGGCAGGCAGTGCAGACAGAAGTTACAGAAGATGCTGTTTTGAAACATAACATCTTCATCTGACCCTCATGCAATGAGGGTTCAGATTTTCACCTGACTGGCCATATTTGAAACTGTCTGCAGCCATGCACTTGTGTTTGGTAATGGCTACAAACTTCTTTCTGTGGCCAGATTGGGTGAAAATTGTTACTACTGTCTGTATCAAAACTTTCACGTGCAATGCTTTCTCCTTCATGGCTACCACATCATTTCAACACATATTCATGTTTTCTTTTTTATGCTTTAAAATACTAGAATATTGCAATTTTCTTTTTACATTCTTCTTAAATCCAATTAAAAATTAGCTATCCAAAACAACTGAAAGGGCCAAACATAAACACTCTACTGAAGCCTTATACCTGAAAATGCCTACAATATTAGTTTTCTATCTCCTGAAAAAAAAAAAATTCCTACCTGTGGATAGGATGAATACCCAGCTGTCTTCTTATGTTGCTCTTGTATTAAGTGCCTGTCTGCCTCATTTATAATCAAGATTGAAAGAAGGGTCACAGAGGAGTATAAGAGTATTACTTGGGCATGCAAGGATGAAATCAAGGAACCCAGAGCACAACCGGAGTTGCAGCTAGCAAGGGACATGAAGGGTAACAAGAAGGGTTTCTACAAGTATGTCAGCAACAAGAGGAAGATCGGGGAAAGGGTGGTCCCCATGGTGAATGGGGGAGGAGTGTTGTCAGCAGTTTAAGGGAAGTGATTCCCGTCCTCAACTTGGCACTGGTAAGGACACATCTGGAGTACTGTGTCTAGTTTTGGATCCCTACTACAGGAAGGATGTGATAAAATTGGAGAGAGTCCAGTGAAGAGCAATGAAAATAGTTAGTGATGAGCTGGGGCACATGACTTATGAGTAGGGATCCTTGAAATCTCTCTCTCATGGAAAACTTTGGAAAAATACAGAATTTGCCTTTTTTGTGCAACCCACCACTGATTGGCTGAAGGGCCCTGGCAGCCCTGTGCCTCACCTCTGATTAGCAAGAGGCAAAACCCACATTTCTGCCATAGTTTTTGCCTCTAGCCAATCAGTGGCAAGGCACAGGGCTGCTGGGGTCCCACCGCTGGTCACTGGCAGGGGGGTGCAGCAAAAAGAGGGAGAATACAGGTGCTGCTGCACAGCACATGTTGCACATCTGCCACTAGAAGGGTTTTGTTAAATACCTACGTGTTTCATTTTACTTACTGAAAAACATGGATTTTTATGGGGGGTTTCTGGAGATATTTGCTTTTTTTCAAAGAAAATCAGGACCCCTGCTTATGAGGAGAGGCTGACAGAACTGGGCTTATTTAGTCTGCAGAAGAGAAGACTGAGGGAGGATTTCATAGCATCCTTCCACTCCCTGAAGAGGGGTTCCAAAGAGGATGGAGCTAGACTGTTCTCAATGGTAGCAGATGAGAACAAAGAGCAAGGGAAGTTTAGGTTAGAGATTAGGAAGAACTTGTTTGCTAGGAGGGTAGTGAGAACATGTTACCCGGAGAGGTTGTGGAATCTCCATCCTTGGAAGTTTTTAGGACCCTGTAACAGGGAACCCTAGGCCTGTTACCAGAAAGCAGGGCAGCCCTGTTAAAACTAGAACCTTCTGGGCACAGCCTGCAGGCAGAGCAAGGGTTAGAAGCCAAGTCTTGCAGGCTAGTCAGCTGACTGGGGGCTGTCAGGTGACCGGGAGAGCGCTCAGGCCAAAACTACATAAGCCCTGGTCTGAGCTAGCCAGAGATCCCCAGTTGCAGAGAGGGTGGACTCCTGAGAACTCCAAGCAGAGCTGCAGCCACCCGATGAGAGGGAGAGAGGAGCAAGCAGTGGGACTCAGAGATGTGGAGCCCATGAAAAAAAGTGGGTAGGATAAGTGCCTTTGTTAACTTTCCTTTGTTATAGTCTATGGATTTACTCTTTAGGTTTGAGTTTAATCTGGTGGTTTGAGAATGAGACTGTAGGGGAGGTGGTGACCTCATTAGCATCTACAAGTCACAGCTACAGAGGGCCAGAAAGTAAAGTCAAACATAAAGGGACTCAGAAGTGCCCCAAGGTGTTTCCAAAGGCTACTGGAGATGGCACCCTGTTATGACCCACATAGACAAAGCCTTGACTGAGATGATGTAGTTGGGGATGGTCCTCCTTTGACCAGAAGGTTGGACTAGATGACCTCCTGAGGTCCCTTTCAATGCTAATTTGCTTAGATTCTGTAATTCTATATTCCATCCCATGTTTATTTTCGCCCCAAACAATTTACATTTTGAAAGTCTGATCCTGCTTTCATTCCAGCAATTCTTCCATTGAATTCAATAGAATTAGGATAAGGCCCTAAATACATAGTGAACAAAGGAGGGAAAAAAGAGTTACGAAAAATAATGTGACTGAATGATGAAATTAAGTGCTTGTCCTGGTAGTTCCAGGAATTTTTATGAGTTCTCTTATCACATTGAATGCAGTTACAAATAATTTTTGGTTTCATGGTCTGTATTCTTCTTATATAAATTGTTGAGATACCAGTTTGTATGCTGTAATTTAGATTGGCACTCTTACTGCTGAAATAATTTAACAATGCTTTTATACAAACACATTGAGTTTTTTGTTGAGCAGTTGCCTTCTTTTCAAGATCTGACAAGTAATCGGAACGTCTCCTCTTCTTTTTTGAAATGTTAATTTGAGTTATCGGTTACTAGCCTAGACCTGCTATGGATGCATTCGTTATAAAACATATTAAAACAAAGTCAGCATTTGAAATGTAATTTTTATAACAATTATTAGTAATAGTTTCTCATTTATTTGTAAAGTCTTGCTTGACTAATTAGAGCACTGATTATCTTACAGTGAATTTCCCTAACGATTATAACAGAAAGATTTAGATTAATGAAATAAAAAAGCAAACAGGAGAACAAGAAATATGTAAGGAATACACATCTTCATCTTGCTTAATATTTGTTAGCTGAAGAAATAGTAAATCTGCTCTTGATATGCCCAATGTTTTACTCTTGCATGTAGTTTAATTTTTTAGTAGATCAGTAAGTCAAATTTGATTAAACACTTTCTGATTTTATGCAAACAGTTCAGACTTATTATTATGTTTTAAATTAAGATTGCACTCATATCCAAACAGCTACCTTGAGATATCATAGTTCAATCCTTACTATAGGATTGTCCATCAGAAAGAATAATGAGTTCCTGATTTTCTTACATCATATAATGTTTATTTTCATAAAAGAAAAAATGTTAGCAGATTCTTTTTATGTCAACTTATAGCACCATTGGCCTGGACAGCATTTCTCAGTACAAAGTGCCCAATAGAGATTAAGGATGAACAGAACTCAAAATACAGGATCCAGATCTGAATTTTAATCATAGACTCATAGAAAATTTGGTTTGGAAGGGACCTCAGGAGGTCATCTAGTCCAAAACCCTGCTCAAAGCAGGGCCATCCCCAAGTAGTTTATCTCAGCCAAAGCTTTGTCTAGCAGGGTCTCAAAAACATCCAAGGATAGAGATTCCACAACCCCTCTGAGTAACCTGTTCCAGTGCTTTATTACCCTTCTAGTGACAATTTTTTTCCTAATATCTAACCTAAACTTCCCTTGCTGCAACTTAAGACTGTTGCTCCTTGTTCTGTCATCTGCCACCACTGAGAACAGTCCAGCTCCATCCTCTTTTGACTTCCCCTTCAGGTAGCTGAAGCCTGCTATTAAATCCCCTCTCGGTCTCCTCTTCTCTGGAGTAAATAAGCCTAGTTCCTTCAGTCTTTCCTCATAAGTTATGTCCCCCAGAACCCTCACCATTTTTGTTGACCTCCACTGGACTCTCTCCAATTTGTCCACATCCTCTCTGTAGTGGGGGGCCCAAAAATGACACTCTACTTCAGATGTGGCCTCACCAGTTCTGAATAGAGGGGACTAATCAGTAATCACTTCCCTTGACCTGTGGACAATGCTGCTACCAGTGCAGCCCAGTATGCTAGCAGCCTTCCTTGCAACAAGGGCACATTTTTTACTCATATTCAGCTTATTGCCCACTATAACCCCCAAGTCCTTTTTTGCAGAGCTGCTGCCTGGATAGTCAGCCCCCAGCCTGTACAGGTAATGGGATTGCTCCACCCTAAGTGCAGGACTTTGCACTTGTCCTTGATGAACCTCATAAGGTTCCTTTTGGCCCAATCTTTCGATTTGTCTAGGTCAC